CGTGCACATCCAGAAAGGATGCAATTTTGTTCCTAAAACTAGACAAATTGTGTGAAACTTCACACAATTTGTCCAATTAAGGGAACAAAATTGCATCCTTTCTGGATGTGCACGAAATCGTTGCAAATCTACGGACAAAATTACAGTGACATCATTCGATCATGTTCTTTAACAAATCGCGTGATACAAATCGGCAGGCCAAGCAGGCCCGGCCCCTGCCGAACGGAGTTGCCGGCGCAGCGAAGCGGAAGGGCTTATTTTTTACAGGACTAGTATGTTTTAGGGGCAGCTGTTAAGACAGTATGTATTAGGGACGTACTCAGAAGACAGTACTTATTAGAAAGGAGGGGACAATATACATTTCTAGGATTTTTACTATACATTATCTAATGGAAGCTGGCATCGACGTTTGTTAAGAAGGTTAACTCAGTTGCACAGTACCGTTTAATCAGTTTATTTTTCTAGTGTATACCTTTACTTAAATAAATGGAAGTAACACTCAAAGAGAACTGCAAACTACTACAGAACATATCGTAAATGCTCCATAAATAGAACTAATAGACGGATGTCCTAAATCGAAATTATTAGATATACGGCCCCTAAAGACCAAAAAATTATGTAACCTTCATCACGACGTGTATAACGTCACTTGAAAAAAAATGCAAAAAATGAAATTATCCTGGGAGAAAGTCACATTAGCTGACAGGGCAATGCAGCATGCAGTACTTAGAGCCACTGCACGTCGACGCCGCGCCCCTTCCAGGCCTCGTGGCAGGCCTTCTCCGCGGGACCCAGCGTGTCCTCGAGGGGGACGGGCGCGGCAGGCGCGGCAGGCGCGGCGGCAGCCCGCGGCTTCTTCTTGTTCTTCTTGCCGCCCCTCTTCTTCCGGTGCCCCTGCTGGGCCGGGCGGCTGGCGGCGGCGGCTTGCTCGTGGCGCCGCAGCTTGATGCTGCGCAGGGCGGGCGCGTCACGCAGCAGCGCCAGGTGCTCCGGGAGGAGCTGGTCGCACGCGCTCACGTCCACCTGCAGCGGGAGAGGCACTCGTAAAGAAAAAAAAACACAGAAAAAACCACAGAAAAACTCTGGTCAGTTTCATACACAGACCGTCGGTACGTTTCCTGTGGTGTATCACAGAAAAAGTACAGGAAATTCTGTACTTTTAATGTGGTTTCCACAGAAAAAGTTAAGAAGTTTTTACTGTTCTAGACTTTTCTGTGGTTTTTACTGAGTGAATGTTTCTGCACTCTCAGACCCACTGTTATTCAAGGAACGTGACGTCACATTCGTTTCAATGTAAAATGTGTCACGTTCGTTGGAATGTGCCACATTTGTTTTATCGTGACGCGGCCAAGCTTGTCGCCAATTGGAGCATCAAGTCAGCCTGAGTCACGTTCAAACGAATGCGACACAACATTTCAACGAACGTGACACGATTCATATCCAAAAGAATGTGACGTCACTCTAAATGTAAAGGGACAATTTTGACCACATATTTGGAACCGATTCGTGCACATCTAGAAAGGATGCAAATTTGTTCCTTACATTGGACAAAATTGTTTAAAGTCTCACACAATTTGTCCAGTTTTAGGAACAAAATTGCATCCTTTCTAGATGTGCACAAATCGGTTCTAAATCTACGGACAAAATTGTCCCTTTACATTTAGAATGTCCGTATTCCTGGAATAACAGTTCCCTTAATGACATTTTGTTTATGTCAAATTAACTGCTGTGTGGTGGTATTATATGGATAAATTTGTCTACGTGTAGGATCATTTACTGTGTAACTCCATCGACTTTTATTTAAAAAAAAAAAAAAAGGTTCAAAATTACACTCTAAATGTAAAAGAACAATTTTGTCCATAACGAGGGAACAGATTTACAAGTTACAAAATTGTTTCGTTAGGGAAGACAAATTTCAATTTTGTTCTATCCCCATGGACAAACTTGTTTTCTGTTTCGTGGACAAGACATTTGTCCCAGCGAGTGAACGTTTAAATCTGTCCCCTTTTTCGCAACAAATTTGTTTCCAAGGAGGGGACAATTTGTTCAAGGAACATTTTGTCCCTTCCAATGACACAATTTGTCTTTAAAATGACACGTTTTTGTCCATAGATTTCTTGTCTGCGGCTATGGACAAACATTTTGTTGCTAGTTTAAGGTACAGAAAAAAGTTCCTTTACATTTATAGTGTATAAAAGAAATTCTCCGAATTTATAACGACATTAATTGAGTGAATAGTTTTTTTTATGATAGATAAATTTTTTTTTGGTATTTGCGTCTAAACCAGTCTGTACACATATCAGTGGGACAGTGTCACTAATTAAAGTGTGAGACACGCTTGACACACTGTTTAAAATGTGGGAATGTTCCTTGGATGCAGTGAATTCCCACACTTTAAATAAGTGTGGAAGAAACTTGACCTACATTTTTAAAAGTGGGACTGTCTCAATGATCGATTTGCAGAGCAGGTAGAAACTTATATCTTTATAAAAACAAATTAGAAACATGACTATTTCAAAATCGGAGAGAAAGTACATTTAAATCAACAATTTTCAAGTTAACTCTTTTTTTCACCTATTACATTCTTGATATTAACTGCTACCACTGATGTGTAAAGTGTGTTGAGAAAAGAAATTCTTTTCGATACCGTATTGGTGAAAAGAGTTGTCAGTGGCCAATTAAAAAAATACTTTCAATACACCAGGTACACTGACAATGGGGTCAAAGAGTCATTGTTAGGATTGGTGTTTGTAATTGTAACAGTTACTACCGTCTTACGAGTGCACAAAGAAAAATCAGTACAGAATCCTGTAAATTGTTACGCATTAATTTCCAAATCACTTTTGATACACATTCTGTAAAATAACGATACAGACTTTTGTAACAGATGCAAAAATCTGTTATTGTGTACATATTTTTGGATGTGTTACAGAAGTATGTACTGTTTTTGATACAGAAATTTGTATCAAACGTGACACGCAGTAATTTTCATATTTTTTTAGAGAGTGGGAAGACATTTATCTGACCTGCTCGATATGATTCACGTTGTTTTGGAGAAGCGAGAAGAGCGTAGGTTTGTCCCAGCCTTTTCCCGCCACTACCAGCTTGCGCAGTTCGGTGCACTGAGCGGCGACGGCAGCCAGAACTCTGTTCCAGTCAGAAGCAACCTTTTTGACGACTTGGACGGGCACCTCGAGCAGAAGAGACCGCAGTGCAGCCCACGCGGCCGAGCGAGCAATCACAGCCACAGCGTCGGAGACCTGGCAAAGGTCAGCAGAATGAGAGGAAGAAGAGTCATCTTACAGTGAACGGCTGTCCACCCTTTTCCTCACGGCGATGAATTATTTTTCACAAACCGTATAACGAAGGCATTTCAACAGAAATAAAAAGTTGTAGCAGCCGACGTAAGGTTACTCTGCCAATCTTAGTGCACAAGTCAACACTTTAGAAACAACAAAAAAAGTTTGGCAGTTGTAATTGTTGAAAAAAGTGTTTTGCAAAAAAAATAATTGTTATGCAGGGGAACTTTGTGTATAAATGTTGTGCACCAGGCCCCTGAATAACGAAACGTTTTGCAGTTATAACTGCAAAACTTTGTTATGCCGTTTGAAGTGTCGACTTGTTATACACTAAGATTTGCAGTGTACTTAAGCGACAACCATCAAGTGATGGTTGGGGTAACGTAGTAACTGTTTTAGGAACGAAAATATCGTCCGGCCACTATATGATTGTAATTTTTTTAAAACCACATTATGGCTATCCCTGAAGTAACCTTAAATAAGTTGCTACAACTTTCCATTTTTCTGGATGTACATGCAAAAACAGGTAAGAGAGACTGGGGAACGTTGGGCCTCTTTTTCCCCCTCTGCCCCCCAGCCGAGGGGGACACCACTCGCGTAAACCTGTGCACAGATGAGGGTGTAATCCCTATGTAATCCTTGAGTATTGTGCTATATCCTTGTGTAATACTTGACGAAATTTTAAACCTAAACCATCACTAAATTTCATCTTGCTGTCCAAATTTAGTGGTTTGAGAGCCAGAACTTTAACAAAACCCATGTGTAATCCCTCAAAATTCACGTGTAATCCCTGTGATTACGTAATCCTGTGTACATCCTAAACCACAGTGGTGGCCCCCTCGCCCCCAGCCCTTTAACCAACCGATGCAAAAATATTTTTTGGTAATGAACTTGTAGTTTACTTTTTGTCAGGAAACCATCCGCAACCCTGCATCGTCAACGCAGGATGAATAAGAAACAAGCAGGCCCGCCCTTCCGCCAAACGGAGTTGCCAGCTCCACTTCGCTGCGCCGGCAACTCCGTTCGGCAGGGGCCCGGCCTGCTTGGCCTGCCGGCGGCGATGGTCGGGCCTTCGGCCTTCGGCCCGACCATTTCAGTCTCGCGATTTACTGAAGTGCATCATCAAATAAATAATGTGACCGGTAAATCACTTTGCATATTTGAGTACAAATAAAGCGTCCTGTGGGGGGCCTGCGGCCCTAGGAATTTGCTCCTTGGACATGACAAAAGACTGTAACGGGGCAACACCGTGACTACACCCCACCCTTCTGCTTTGATTACAAAAAATTAACCCACGCAGTTTCTAGATTGTATATTGTTTGTCAAACAGTCTTAAAACTTGACTTTTTGCCATTGTTTTCAATATATCCACCTCTAAGGCCAAAACAGTGAAAGATACGGCAAATCCGAGGCTAGTTCTTGATTCAGAATGTGCTGTTTTGGGGGGGTACTTCCTCTGACATTTTACGATTGGACGCCTCCCTGTACGTCTTTATGTGCAACGTGGTCATTTTCGCCGTATTTTCGTCGAAAAAGCACTGTAGCGCCCAAACGGTGCAAGATAGAGTCAAACGGACAAAATTTTCGCCCAAGGGGCTCTACTTTCACGAGTTACCCCTTAGAAAACCATACCAAAAAAATTTTTTTCCTACTCTTTGGACCAACCCGTATTTCTTTGTTACCCCCTTTCAACCCCTTAGGGATGGTTGCCAGGATTTGCACCAGGCGTTTCGTTGTCCAGGAGTGACCCCTAAGATACCCTGAAATTTGTAGACCTCTAGCTCATCTCCTTCCTCTTACACGGACGGCGGACAGACAGACAGACAGACAGACACGAGAGCGGTTGCATAAGCCCGCTTTAATGCTTTTTTAAAAGCAGAAGGGCGGGCTAAAAACCCAGATAATAAAGCATTCCGGTAAAGCTGAAATGCAGAGGAATGCGAGGAAGAAGAAAACGGAAATCGCTATGCCTTAGCATGTTGACTTCCGCTTTCTTGTTCCCTGCATTCTTCTGCATTTCAGCTTTACCGGAATGCTTTATTGCACCAGGGTATGGCAACTCTCTAGGGATGAGCCGATCCTTTATCCTTTGACCACGCCAAAATAGGGGTAGGGCACACCCTAAGATTTCTCAGAGGATTTGTCTATCAGGACGATCCAGTGGTCTAAAAACAACGGTATATGATGTATATTTTTTTAGTTTCTTGCAAGAATGAGACGCACGCAAGTAGAAGCCGTTTGTCCGAAATCGACGGAATAAATAAAACCATCTTACGCACGGCCCCGGGCCGTGGCGTGTCCGGTCGCCCGGTTGGCAGCGGTTGGCAGAGAAATTGAAGAGTGGACCAATGCGCCCCATGGTCCTATGTGCCCCACTCTCCCCTACACAGCTTGTCAGTAAGCAGGCACTAGTTTACTGGGTGTTGGCTTACCACTGACTTCTTAGGTTCCACAAAGAGAAGAGTAACTTGTTCTAATGTTTTTAAGTTCTCGGTCACGTCGACGTGCTCCACCTACGAACATAGAAAGAAAACAGCAGTGAATATTTTAGGCGTTTTTTTAGGTGTTTATCTAATAGTTGAACACTTCCAAGTGTTTCAGAGTCGAACACTTGGTTTAACAGTGTGCCAATATCAACACGGAAAAAATGACTTCGTTGTGAGGATCAATTATGTTTGATAAGCTTAATTCGATTGCTGGAATCGAGAATCTGATACTCACAGGCAGGAGTTGGTTGCCACGACCGGACACTTGCACGAAAAGAACAAACTCCAGCTTGGTTCTCTTCGTACAAGTGTCTGGTGGAGACAACCAACTCCTGCTTGTAGTATCGGATTCTCGATTCGAGCAATCGAATTTAGCCTACCAAACAGATCCCCACAACAAAGCCTTTTATTTCCGTGAAGCGCCCAGAGGAAAAGAGTGCTATTTTCTGGCACCCTTTTCCCTGGGGTGCTAACCAGCTAACAGTGGAGTCAGACGAGCGAAGGCGGCAGTGGAGGCTCAGTTGAGCTGTCGAGACCAGTAGTTTTCGCAAACTTCATTTTTTTTCCTCAGCTCAATTTGAATTTCACTGACTCCTAGTGACCGATTTTTTCCCCTAACTTTTCCTTGACTTCACTGACCGGTATGAACCCTGACATTGTCAGGCCGTTAGGAACCGGAACATTGTATACTACACAAACTCAGTAGTATCATCTTATTTCACGTCACGTTCACGAAAGTTACTTTTTTAATTCGTAGTTATGAACAAATTGATGAAATATGCATATAATTTGTAGATAGTGTTAATTAAAAAGACGCAACAAAAGCAGGTGCACAGAATCCATAGGATAGGTTTTAAAAAAAAGTCATGCAAAAGACAGAAGAGTAAAGTAACAAAAGGCACTGAGAGGGAGGGAAGAAAAGAAAGAAACAAATCATACATATTTCATGCACAGAAAAAAAAGATTAGTCCTCTGAACTAAAAAATTGGCTAATTTTGCGATAGTCAAGAAATTAGCCGGGGCACCTAATAACTAGTTGTGAGGGACAAAAGTTACATGCTACAGCAAACCTTAATATCAAAGTTGTGCGCGCGAGCCAGATTCTGGCAGTTTTGTGAGAGCCAGCACGAGCCAGGTGCCTTCTGCAATCTCCGGGTCCCTTCGAGATCGCACAACTCTGGAAGGGACCCGTAGATTGCCGAAGGTGCCAGGCTCCCGCGAGCCAGATTCTGGCTCGCACAAAACTGCGCGAGCCAGCGCGAGCCAGAATCTGGCTCGCGCGCACACTCTGCTGAATATACATACGCGTGAGCTGCCACCGTGAACCGGTATGGTACATTAAGGTAATTAGGTTCCGCGCCGCGGCTTTCTTGACTATCCCAAGATTAGCCAATGAGTTAGTTGTAACGACTTATCTATTTTTTCCGTGTGTCAATGGATTGGGGTTACTCGTAACCCTTTCAGCTTGAGAGAAGGGCTTTCAGTTATGTTTTCCGAAGCAAAGACAGTTATTTGGAACTAGACGATACGAAATTTACTCACCTTGAGGTAAATCTCCCGTAAATTGGGCAGCTCAGCAAAAAGGTCCAGTATGGGCAGTCTGTAAGTCGTCTCTCCAAAGCAGGCCATCTTAAGGCCGGTGATAATATCAGCTTTGTAATGCAGGATATCCGATAACATAGCTTCCTTTTCTTCCTCACGATCACCTCCGCAAATGTCCTCATACTCATGGTCCTTTAAACATACGAAAAGACAACTAGAACTATTTCATTCAAAATATTAACACTCTCAAAAAGTTAAGCCAGCAATTAATTTGTTTCGTTGGTACGATATTTCAAAAAAAAAAAAAAAAAAGTTAATAATTCTTGGCAACAGTGAAACGAACCGCAAGGGGTTTTTGGGTGTAGAATCATCGTGTACATTAAATCGAGTGCTCCAATTCAAACTCTTTCAACTGCTCCAGTTTAAATTGCTCCACTTTAAATTGTTGCACTTTAGATGACCCCACTTTAAATTGCTCTAGTTCAAATTGCTTCCGTTTAATTACTCCCGTTTAAATTGTACCACTTTCATTTACTCCACTTTAAATTGGTAGTTAAAATTGCACTTGTTCAAAATCCGCACCCTCATTTCCTTACTGACCTGCCGACGTAAGTTACTGGGAATTCTGTGCAAAAATAAGGTATGGACAAATTAACTGTAATATGGATAAGAAAAGTCCATGTTACGGATAAAATTAACAGTAATATAGACACCCGTAGATTCGTAAGGGATAAAGATATATTTCGTTTTTCACCGAACCTTACGGATATGTGTATGTTTGTCTCACGGATAATTTTATCCTATATGGACTTTTCTTATCCATTTCAGAGTTTAATTGTCCTTACCTTACTTCTGCACAAAATTCTCTGTAACTTATGGCTGGAGGTCCCTAAGGAAATGAGAGGGAGCTTGTTGAAGTTCGACGTTCAAATTCCCCTTGTTTATATATATTCGCCGACAAATTGCCCGTATTAATTCCCAGTTTTAATTCTTCATGGTTGCCACAAAATTTTCATTTCCATTTTCGCTGAGTTTTCCCTGATTTCCAGACCATTTCTCCCCAAATTTCCCTGAGTTTTAAGCACCGTTCCAGGGGTAAACAAACAACTCCCGATGCCGAGCACCACGGCCCTATGGTAGAAAAACCGCGAAGACCGCGAGCGCGAAAAATTTTGGGTCAAAACAACCAACTTGGACGTCAAAATGTGGGTTTGACCTACTTAGTAAATAGATAGCAGTTTGAGGACCGATCAGAACAAATTTCCCTGACTTTTTTTCATTTTCCCTGAGTTTACCCTGATTTCCCTGACAGTTTATTTCCCTGAGTTTTCCAGGTTTTCAAGGTTTTCCAGAGTTGTGGCAACCATATTCTTCTAGTGGACGTCCATGTCGCTGGGAGCGTTTCCCCCACATGACGCTCAACCCGTCCCGCCCACAACGGCTGTTACTGTAATGTTGCGATTGGTAAAAACGACCCAAGAGGTTCGGATTAAAAAAAAGAAAAAAGAAACGTTTTGCCGGCTTGGATTGCAAATTATTTCGTTGTGGCGTGGTGCTGGTTGGCGGCTGGTCCGTCATGGAGGCTCTGTTAAGGCGGAACGGTTGGGCTTCAGCAGATGCAGTGCGGCTCAAGTCTGACCCTACACTCGAATGTAAAAAAAACAATTTTGTCCATAACGAGGGAACGGATTTACACGCATCCAACGACAGACAAAATTGTTTCGTTAGAGAGGACAAGTTTCAATATTGTTCTCTCATCCTGCACAAATTTGTTTCCTGATTCGTGGACAACACATTTCTCCCAGCGAGTGGACGTTTAAATTTGTTACTTGTTCGCAACAAATTTCTTACAAAGGTAGCAGACAATTTTTACAAGGAACATGTTGTCCTTTCGAATGACACAATATGTCAACACTCTAAATGTAAAGGAACTTTTTTTTGTACCTTAAACAAGCAACAAAATGTTTGTCCATAGCCGCAGACAAGAGATCTATGGACAAAAACGTGTCATTTTAAAGACGAATTGTGTCATTGGAAGGGACAAAATGTTCCTTGAACAAATTGTCCCCTCCTTGGAAACTAATTTGTTGCGAAAAAAAGGGGACGGATTTAAACGTCCACTCGCACTGGAAATCCTAGAGCGAGGATTCTCGCCCTCTGGAGGGCGAGAATTTGCACCAAATTTTCTCGCCCTCTAGAGGGCGAGGTTTGATTTCCTCGCTCGATTAGAGCAATAGATTCAGAAATGTCGCTCTATGCACTGTTAAAAATAACTGGCACCTGACGACATACTGCCTGATTGACACTCCTGTAATGTAACAGAAATGTTGTTTTCATTTGAACACTCACGAAACTTGTGACATTAGGCCCATAGTGGCCCACAACAAAAACTACTACGTACTACTTTGCTGTACATTTACAAGAAAGGAGAAGTTAATTTTGTTAGCAGCACATTTCGTTCCAAAACAGGACACTCGTCTTATTACAACTTTTTTTTTACAGGAGCAAAACAAAGTAACTGCTTTTGGTCGGAAACTTTGTTTCCGAGATTTTCATTAACGCTGCTTTTTTACAGTAAGGCCTGTAAAAATACAGTATGTGCTGCTAACAAAATTAATCACATTTTTGCTGTAAATTTACAGCAATTTTTTTAACAGTGTGTGGGTGATAATTGGAAAACCTCGCTCCTGGAAAAAAACTCTCGCTCTTTTAAGGTCACAAATCTCACTCCAGGATTACAGTGACAAATCCCTGGTACACTTTGTTGAGACTGCGGTTGTGTAAGTTCCACAAGTCCCCAGCAGGGGCTAGTAAACCTTACTTTTCAAAAATGACAAGTGCGTACACTCATCGCCTCCGAATCAGGAAATTGTCTTGGCATAGCGTCCAGACTATGGCTCTGTTAGCATGGTGATTCATCAGCGAGAGCTAACTTTCTACTCAAGTGTCACTTTAATACCATTTAAAATACAGCTTTAAATGTGCACTTCTTCACCCCTTGGTGGACACTTCTGTGGCACTCTAGTGCCGCTTAATATTCACCGCTTCATTACTCCTTGGGAACCACTCTAAAGTATCCTCAGTGCCACCTTCAAAAATAGAACCTTCATTGCCATTTGTATGACACTTAAATGCCACTTGGGCTCTTTGACACTTTGGTGCCACTTACTTGCCCCTTAATTGCCACTTTGTCTCTTAATTTTTTTACCAGGGATGTCTTATCCACGAAACAGGAAACAAGTTTGTCCATGAGGATAGAACAAAATTGAAATTTGTACTCTCTAACGAAACAATTTTTTAACATGTAAATCCGTTCCCTCGTTATGGACAAAATTGTTCTTTTACATTTAGAGTGTATAAAATGACACGTTATTGTCCATAGATCTCTTGTCTGCGGCTACGGACAAACATTTTGTTGCTAATTAAGGTACAAAAAAGTTCCTTTACATTTAGGGTGTTTACACTGTAAATCTGGGGTGTCCAGCAACTGTGCGCTCTAAGTTGCACGACCCAGGTTTCTGTGCAACTTCAGAGCGCACAGTTACTGGACACCTTGTGTTTTGCCACCCTACCCTGCAGACGGGCCCCGGCAAGGGGTGTCTAATCACAGGACACCGTACCGAGGCAGTGCCTAGACCCTTTGCAGGGAAAGGGTGGCAAAAACACAAGGTGTCCAGTAACTGTGCGCTCTAAGTTGCACAGAAACCTGGGTCGTGCAACTTAGAGCGCACAGTTGCTGGACATCCCAGATTTACAGTGTAGACACTATAGTGTGTGTGGTATACCGTCATACCAAGAGGAAACACTCGCAGCCTAGCCTAGCCACTCACACCACTCCAGGAGTGCAAGTATAGTTTCGCGGCAAAATGGCTCATTTTCTGTAGCACAGGTTTGAGGTTTCAAATGTTTTCTCTATCCGCAGATGAACAAACCCGTAACCCGTTAAGAACACCAGGTAATTCGGACGCGATTTGGGAAAAAGTCTAAAAATGGTGTTTGTGGCTACGACTGCGTTGAGGTCATTTAGTTCACCCGCAAGACACCCCTTTCTGTCGTATAATCAAGAACACGGGGGTTGATTTCTGAAATTTTTCGAATTTTCTCCGTCGGATACCCGGTGTTTCTTCACCTGTTAGAATCTCGGTTAGAATAGAGTGTTCACTCTAAATGTCAAGGGACAATTTTGTCCGTAGATTTGCAACGATTTCGTGCACATCCAGAAAGGATGCAATTTTGTTCCCTTAATTGGACAAATTGTGTGAAGTTTCACACAATTTGTCTAGTTTTAGGAACAAAATTGCATCCTTTCTGGATGTGCACGAAATCGTTGCAAATCTACGGACAAAATTGTCCCTTGACATTTAGAGTGTTGGTTCGAATTCACAATGTACATTAAGTCCATAGACTACACTGTAAGTGGATTTGTGATAATTTCAACACAAAACTTTGCCATAACTCATGTTTTGCGATTCCAAAGAAGTATCGCTCTTTGGGACATTAACTTCTTATCGCCAAAAACTTTGCGATAATTTGTGTAGGGGGAGATTATTACCAAATAAAATATGAAAATCTTTTATCGCATGAATTAGAGTGCACAGGCTGGAGATTTAATACAAATAAGGGAGTAACAGCTCCTCCACCTGTACACTAATCCTTGCCATAAAAAGTTATCATACCCAAAAAAGCGATACTTCAGGGGAATCGCAAAATACGAGTTATCGCATCATTTGTGTTAAAGTTATCGCACACACTAAGAGTAGCACTCCATAAAAGTGGGTACGGAACGCCGTTACACTCTAAATGTCAAGGGACAATTTTGTCCGTAGATTTGCAACGATTTCGTGCACATCCAGAAAGGATGCAATTTTGTTCCTAAAACATGGTTGCCACAAAATTTTCATTTCCATTTTCCCTGAGTTTTCCCTGATTTCCAGACCATTTCTCCCCAAATTTCCCTGAGTTTTAAGCACCGTTCCTGGTGAAGTACTGGGACAAACAAATACCCCTAACTGGTAATACAAGACCGCGAGCGAAGCGAGCGCGAAAATTTTTGGGACAAAACACCCTACTGGGACGTCAAAATGTGTATTTGATCTACACAGCGAATAGACTGCAGTTTGGGGACCAGTCACACCAAATTTCCCTGACTTTTTTTCATTTTCCCTGAGTTTTCCCTGATTTCCCTGAGAGTTTTTTATTTCCCTGAGTTTTCCAGGTTTTCAAGGTTTTCCAGAGTTGTGGCAACCATGTAAAACTAGACAAATTGTGTGAGGCTTCACACAATTTTGTCCAATTAACGGAACAAAATTGCATCCTTTCTGGATGTGCACGAAGTCGTTGCAAATCTACGGACAAAATTGTCCCTTGACATTTAGAGTGTACAGGCACCGTTATCCAAAGCTGATATTTTACAGTGTATGGACTTTGTTTTGTCTCTAGATCCAGTTACGAATCCTTTGTTACCAATGGCGCTGTCAACAATTTTGTTGACAACTGTGGACGAATTTGTGGACACGCTGGACGCAAAATAGCCTTATGGGCAAATTTGTGGACAGATCAGACACAATTTTGAGGACACCGTGGTTGAATTTCTGTGCACTACAAATCTATCGACAATTCGGTAGTGTGTAAATTTGCCTACAATTTGTCTATAATTATGGATAATTAGTCTATAATTATGGACATGGACAATTTGTCTATAATTATGGACAATTTGTAAATAATAATGGACATGGACGATTTGTCTATAATTATGGACAATTTTGTTACCAAGTTACACATGCACAAAAACGTGGACAATCTGTCCACAAAATCCATAGACTTTTAGTGTGGAGATCCTGTATAAGTGTATAAGCGTGTAACCAGTAAGGGTCCCTTTGCCACTTACCGTTATGCTGCTGTCGTGGAGGGGAAGCATTGCGTAGAGGAACTGCTGGCGGAACCAATAGATAGACAAACCGAGCTCGATCTCCTTCAGGGCCGGAAAAGCAGGACGCTTGGGGCTCCTCAAGTCTTCGGTTGGTTTAAACTCGCCGCGGTACGTGTCGAAGTACAAATTCGGGGCACAGTAGTAGATCTGCAGGCGCTCCAGGTGAGGCATTCGAGAAAGCACCTGAGAAAAAGCATTTGCAAGGTGAGAGACACACCCAGACCACACCGAGTTGTCAGTTGTCTGTTGTCTGTCAAAGAAAGTGTCAGATAAGACCGGAAAAGTGTAATCCTTTCTCGGTGGCTTTAATCCGAACACACTAAAGTCCAATAGACTTTTTTTTTGTCCGCAGCAAGACGCATTTTAACCACATCTTGACAGGATGCATTTTAACATCATACAAATGACAAATTTGCATTTTATCGGTGGACAAAAATAAAAATTGTCCATGAATATGACGCAAACTTGTCATTTGCAGGATGTCAAAATGCACCCTGTCAAGATGTGCTTAAAAATACATCTTGCTGTCGACAAAAAAAGTCCATTCCAATTTAGTGTGTATGCTGTTCCGTTAGCGTGACCCATAATTCAAATGCTGATCTCACTGAATATTATCCTCGCAAATTTACAACATTTTTGGTAATTACGATTTACAAAACTATGTTGTAAATTTACAAAAACCCATTTTTGCTTGTTGATCGATTTCGACATAAAAACGAACATTTTCTTTCATGTTTTTTTTTCTTACATGTTTCATTTCACGGAATTTAAGTCACTATGATCATGATACACATGATATTATTGACATCCGACCCTTTGATTGACACCATAAAAATGAACGCACTGTAAAATGCTTGCAAACTATGTGTTTGTATTGCAAACAATTTTCTTTTTCAGCTTGCAAAGAATTTTGAAGCGTTATATTTCAAACTTAAATTGTTTGCAAGCTTGCAAACTATTCCTTTGCAATGCGAACAAATAGTTTGGACAGCTTGCAAAGAATTTCTCTGCAATACGAAATACTTCTTTTCAATACAATGATAAAAATTCTATGTAACGTTGCAAAGAATTTAGATTGCAAGCATTTAACAGTGTGTCTTCACTGTAAAATAAAGTGTTGAACTGGCGTGCACATCCGGTTTAACACTACGTTGCACATGTGCACTTCATGTGTTGACTGAAAAGAGTGTTTAATGGTAAATTTGATGACCCAAAAGTGTTTAACTCGAAAGGTTGATCATGTAGCTTTGAACACTTTAAAATGTTGAAACTTACTTAGAATTGTGCAGCACAGCGTTTTACACTTTAATTTGCAGTGTTCATGACGTATAATCTTGAAAGGCTCAAGTACTCTCAAAGTATACACTACCAAGTGCAACAACGTTTTTTCTCTGTTTCCTTAAGAAATTAAGAGCTAAACCATTGCTTTCATTCTTTTCTACGTCGACCTGTTATCATTTAAAACTGTTTTGTCTCTCCCGAACAATTAAAAAAATGGTCCTTTAAAACATGACCAGCCATCTCATGAACCGTGCAAGCTACTGTAACAAACTAGTCTCATTATGAATAAAGATGGCAAAATTAAAATTCGTTACTTTTTGTCAGGGGTCCGTAACTTAACGCATTAGCGTTATGCGTTAGTTATATGAATTAACGTGTAACGCATTAGCGTTATGCGTTAGTGAAATGACGTGACGTTTAACAATTTGCAATAAAAGTTAAAGTTATGGGTCGTCAAAAATTCTGGTGCTAGTTGGAGCTTGTTCCGGCATTTTGAGTCTAGCTCTTAACGTTTCATTGTATGGTCACAAGTTATAAGTTACAAATTTAACGGATAACGTGCCGCTAAAGGGGAGTTTCATGTTAAGTTACGGACCCCTCCTTTTTGTCCCATTACTGCTAGGGACAAATGCATGTTTTATTGTTTTGTTCCACATCTCCATTCAAATGTTCTGTATCTCTTACTTATTGTGTTTAATAAAAGTTCCTTCCCGTTAAGTGTGTGCACCCCAAGGCAGCAGACCTTTAGAACAGTCCACTTCTTGTCCTTCCTGTTGGGCTGTACGAGAAGGCGGCTCGTCAGGTGCACGCTGCGCAGACTGTCGGAGTACTTCTTCAGCAGGCGCACCAAGCGGTCACTGCCGTCCAAGGAGTGTGCCCAGTCCGCATCTAACAATTCCAGTTCCAAGACGTCGCTCGTACCCGCCTCCAAAGCCTTGGGAGAAAAATCACAATCTTTAATAGGGACGGTAAAATACTGGTATTTTAATTCTAGGGCTCAGGACAAATAAAATACCGGTTTAATACGGTATTTTTCGGTATGTTTGATATTTTTGATTCTTAATTTTGAAGATTTAGGAGAAGAGTCCAAAAAAATTGTAACACTAACGCGTTCATCCAGCGAGTGTACGTTTAAATCCGTCTCCTTTTCCGCAACAAATTTGTTTCCAAGGAGAGGACAATTTAATTTGTTTAAGGAACATTTTTGTCCCTTCTAATGACACAATTTGTCTTTAAAATGGCACATTTTTGTCCATAGATCTTTTGTCTGCGGCTATTGACAAACATTTTGTTGCTAGTTTAAGGTACAAAATGTTTGTCAATAGCCGCAGACAAGAGATCTATGGAAAAAAGTGTGCCATTTTAAAGACAACCCGGGTGGAAGGATCTGCATTTTGGAATATAGCGATTCACTACACTCGGACCAAATTTGCCTCTGCAATGTAAATGTACATTGACTACTTTCTGATTGCGGATAATGTAAATTTTGTATTGTAGCTAGTATCTAGTTAAAATCTATCCTTTGACTAGATTCAAAATGCATATGGGTGATATAGTAAACATGTAGTTTAACTATAGTAATCTGTTGTAAAACTACAAATTTTTTGTAGTTTTACAACAGTTGGACTATAGTTTTTTCGCGGGTTGCACAGTTTTACTGCAGTTCGGCGGGTTAGTTTCGAACTACACTTTGAACAACAGTTGGGAAGTACAAACAAAACCTACAGTT